TGTGTGTGTGTGTGTGTGTGTGTGTGTGTGTGTGTGTGTGTGTGTGTGTGTTTGTTTGCTCTGTTCACTTCACTTGAAGGGTACAGTGAATGTACATATGATACTTGCGGGGTTCTGCAACTCCAATGATAATTATAACCAATGCCTTGGACAAATGGGGTTATACAACTGGATTATAACTGGATCAATTGCTTTCCGAATAATTGTGATTATGTTCAAGTTCAAGTTGTATCTAGCGGTACTGATGCCAAAATGAAAGGGCTGTTTAAAAAACGTTTAGTTTTTCACAATTTATTTTCCGTAAATTTCACATAGAAAAAATAACTGTGTTTTTTACAATAGAAAACAAATTCCAAATATGTGAGGCATCGTGGTGAAATCAGGCTCTCGTCAATTTATGGGCATGTAGAGTTATTGGTATCATCTTAAAGCTTGTTCACTTGTCTTTATTTGGAAGGAAAAAATATCCATTTATCTGGAATACAAGTTGAGATATTTGCGAATGAAGGAGGTGGGGGTCACCTGTTTTAAGAGGTAAAATTGGTTGGAAAATGGCCGCCAAAGTTTAGTTATTTCCTTAGCTTAAGATTCCGTGATAACTGAAAATTTACATTTTTGTGCTTTTAATCAACGTTTTTCAGAAAAATCCAGACAGAAATGAGTTTTTTAATGGGCATGAAAGGTGTTGAGCCAAAAAACAAAAATTTGATAAAAATTCACAAACCTGCGGGAAAATGTAAGTTTCTTCACTTTGATTATTTTGACGAGAGCATGATTCCACCACGCTGCCTCACATATATTTGTACCAAGAGGTATCAATATCGAATAAAACGAAAACAATTTCATGTTTTCTTAAAAATTATAGCAGTAGAATAGTGACAATGTGAAGAGGCGTCATATTTCAAACATTAGCTTACAGGACTGGCACCAGACATTGAGCATTTTCATGCCAAAGTTGTATATCTTTTTTTTTTAATCACAGATTGACTTTATTACATAATGGAGTGTTGACATATAAATGCTGAAGAAAACAATGTTTCCACCAGCCTAAAAGTCTGAGGACAACAACAACAACAACAACAACAACAACAACAACAACAACAACAACAACAACAACAACACAGATTAATCGCGTTCACATTAACTCTTGATTATAATCTTTGAAAAAAGAGCCATTGAAAAAGCAGACAAGTACAATATTGGCAAAACTGTTCTAATAACCACCTCTCCAAGACAGTCGCCTGTACGAACAACACGACC